CTCAGTCACATAAATAAGACAAAGGAAAAGAACTACATGATCATATCAATTGATGCAGAAAAGGCATTTGATAAAATCCAACGCCCATTCCTGATCAAAACTCTCAGCAAAAGAGGAATAGAAGGAAAATTCCTTAAAATAATAAAGAGAATATAGGCAAAACCAACAACAAACATTATTCTCAATGGAGAGAGACTGAAACAACCCCCTTTGCGAACAGGAACCAGAAAGGATGCCTGCTATCACCACTTCTATTCAACATTGTATTGGAAGTGCTAGCCAGGGCAATTAGGCATGAAAGGGAAATCAAAGGCATCCAAATTGGTCAGAAAGAAGTCAAACTAACCCTATTTGCTGATGATATAATCCTATACCTAGAAAACCCAAGAGACTCAGCAGAAAAATTACTGGAACTAATTGAGAGATTAAGCATAGTGGCAGGATACATGATCAACATCCAACAATCACTTGGATTCCTTTACATCAGCAAAAAAATTGCTGAAAGGGAATAAGGAAATCAATGCCATTTATAATAGCTACCAAAAAATAAAATACTTGGGTATAAATCTCACTAGGGACACAAAAGACCTGTACAAAGAAAACTACAAAACACTACTCCAGGAAACCATAAGATATCTGCATAAATGGAAGAACATACCATGCTCGTGGATAGGACGGTTGAACATTGTGAAAATGTCAATACTGCCCAAACCAGTCTATACATTCAATGCAATCCCAATCAAGATCCCATCAACATTAAGGATATGGAAAAACCAATCACTAATTTTATTTGGAAAGGAAAGAAACCTTGGATAAGCAAAGCACTATTAAAGAAGAACAAGGTAGGAGGTCTCCCATTGCTAGATCTCAAAACTTACTATAAACCCACAGTAGTCAAAACAGCCCAGTATTGGTACAATGACACACATAGACCAATGGAATAAAATTGAGAACTCAGAAATAGGTCCATTGATTTATGCTTAGCTGATTTTTGACAAAGGGCTTAAATCCATTAAATGAGGATGATATGGCTCTTTAATGAATGATACTGGCAAGACAGGATATCCATTTGCAGAAAAATGAAACAAGATCAGTCACATAAATAACCTTACACAAAAACTAACTCTAGATGGATCAAAGACTTAAATTTGAAACTTAAAACTAAAGTTCCTCAAGGAAATGCTAGGGGCAAATTTAGGGGCCCTAATTTATTGCATTTAGACGTCGTGTAGCATTGGGAAAGTCAACTGCGAAGGAACTGTTTCAAGTGCTGAGGAGCAAGGATATCTCCTTGAGGACTAAGGTGCGCCTGACACAAGCCATGATATTTCCAATCACCTTGTATGCATGTGAGAGCTGGACAATGAATAGGGAAGACCGAAGAAGAGTTGATGCTTTTGAGTTGTGGTGCTGGCGAAGAATGCTGAAAGTACCATGGACTGCTAAAAGAACTAACAGATCTGTCCTGGAGGAAGTGCAGCCAGAATGCTCCTTGGAAGCAAGAATGGCCAGACTTCGTCTCACCTATTTTGGTCATGTTGTCAGAAGGGACCATTCCCTGGAGAAGGATGTCATGCTTGGTAGGGTGGAGGGTCGACGAAAGAGGGGGAGGCCTTCAACGAGATGGATTGATACAGTGGCTGCGATGATGGGCTCGAGTATAGCAGGGATTGTGGGGCTGGTGCGGGATCGGGCAGTGTTTCGTTCTGCTGTGCATGGGGCCGCTATGAGTCGGAAACGACTCGACGGCACTTAACAACAACAACAACAACAATTTATTGCATAAATAGAGTATCAAGCATAACCCAAAATGCACAAACAGCAGAGGATAAACTAGATGATCAGGATCTTCTAAAAATTAAATTTTTATGTGCTTCCAAAGACTTCTCCAAAAGAGTCAAAAGAGAACCTACAGATTGGGAAAAAAATATTCAGCAATGATATATCTGACAAGGGACTTATCTTTAAAATTTATAGAAAACTCCAACACCTTGACAACAAGAAGACAAACTATCCAATTAAGAAATGGACAGAAGACTTGAATAGAAATTTTACCAAAGAGGATATACAGGCAGCCAACAAACACATGAAGAAATATTCTTGATCATTAGTCATTAGAGAGATGCAAATCAAAACAACAATGAGATACCATCTGGCTCCAGCACTAACAGTAAAGTTCAACAAGACAGAAAATAATAAATGCTGGCAAGAATGTGGAGAGATTTGGACTCTCATACACTGCTGGTGGGACTGTCAAATGATACAACTACTGTGGAAAGAAGTAAAACGATTCCATAAAAAGTTGGAATTAGAAATACCATTTGATCCAGGAATCCCATTACTAGGTATGTATCCTAAAGGAGTGAGAGCCAGGGCAAGAACTGATATATACACACTGATACCATGTGCATGGTATCACTATTTACAATAGCAAAAAGATGGAAACAAACTAGGTGTCTATTAACAGAAGAATGGATAACCAAACTGTGATACATACACACAATGGAATACTATGCAACTCTAAAGTATAACGTAGAATCTACAAAACACCCAGAACGTGCATGACCTTGGAGAATATTATGCTGAATGAAGTCAGTCAATCACAGAAGGACAAATATTGTATTAGTTCATTGTTGTAAAAAGTCATGTAAAGGTTTATACATGGAAGGAAACTTTTTTTGTTGGTTACCAAGGGTGGGAGGTAAAAGAGGGAACACTGCAAAAATAAAAAAGAACAAAATAATTTAAAATAAAATACTTTAACCATTGAACTACCAGAGTGTTTCAGAAGAAAGGCTTCCTTGTCTGGGAATTGAACCTAGGCCCTGGTGGTGAGAGTGCAAAATCCTAACCACTAGACCACCAAGGAGTGTCAGGCCAAAGTGGAATATCAGAACAATATGATGCATGATACATTTGCCTTACCAGCTAGGGAGTACATTCACTCTCCAACATCTACTCAGTCTATGTTTATCTCTTGGCACAGTTTTCACTTGAACGGCAACTCTGTGCTGTATCCATAAAGTAGTCACACTAATTTTGGATCTGTAGAACTAACAAATCTGTCCTGGAAGAAGTGCAGCTGGAATGCTCCTTGGAAGCAAGAATGGCCAAACTTCGTCTCACCTACTTTGGCCATGTTGTCAGAAGGAACCATTCCCTGAAGAAGAATATCATGCTTGGTAAGGTGGAGGGTCGATGAAAGAGGGGAAGGCCCTCAACAAGCTAGATTGACACATTGGTTACAATGATGGGTTCAGGTATAGCAGGGATTGTGAGGCTGGCACAGGACTGGGCAGTGTTTTGTCTTGCTGCACATAGGGTCGCTATGAGTCAGAGATGACTTAAGGGCACCTAACAACAAGAACAAGCAAAACAACAACAACAACAACAACAACAGCAACAATAGTATCCCAACCTAATCTTGCCTAGATCTAACAGCAACTCATACCCACTCAAACCCTAACAGAGGTATGGTTGATGAAAAGTCAATCTAACATGAGACTAGTAATAAAATAGTCTTATCCTGCCCTGCCTTTATCACAATTTTCTCTTAAATTTGCTCTTATAGAAAGGACAACGTCCCCTGGTAGTGTAGTGGTTGAAGTCCTCGCCTGAGCACTAACCAACAGGCTGGCAGTTTGAACCCAGCAGTCACCTGTGGGAGAAAGATGTGGCAGTCCATTTCCTTAAAGTTTACAACCTTAGAAACCATATGGGGAAGTTCTACTCTGTCCTTTAGGTTTGTTATGAGTTGGAATTGACTCCACAGGAATGGGTACTTATTGCTGTGAAGACGATGGTTTCTATGGGGCAACCCTGGCTGACTAATCAGATACTTGAACTAAGTCCTCTTCTTAGTTTCCTCATGTTGTTGTTGTTGTTGTTATGTGTCGTGGAGTCGGACCCAACTCATAGCTACCCCTTCTTGTGTTTCCAAGGCAGTATCACACGGAAGTAGACTGCCTCATCTTCCTTCTGAGGAGTGGCTGCTGGGTTTGAACTGCCAGCCTTCTGGTTAGCAATCAAATGCCTTAGACACTACTCTACCAGAATTCCTGGTTTCCTCATAAGTTTTTTTTTTTTTTTTTTAATTGTGATAAATACATATGTAATAAAACATTTGACATTTCAATAATCATCATATGTGCAGTTCAGTGACATTATATTAACCATATTGTTCAACCATCCCCCTTATCTGTTCCCAAACCTTTTAAGTCTTAGATGCACACCCTTTGAGCTGTTTTCTTGTTTGTTTTAATAAAGTCATATGAAGCACTTAATCTTCCTGCATTCCTATTTTGCCCTTGTTGTTGGTAATGTCTATGTGTTTGAAAAGCCTTTGGAGAAAAAAGAATAGCAAATATTCCTTTAACAGTTAATTTAAGCTGGATTTGCCTTTCTACTGCTGGGGAAATCTGTGACAATGCAAACTATTGGCAAAAGTTTGGAACAGGAGATGGACTTACCATCCTCATGATCTGCCAGGATAATCACCTTAGTGGTGGGGAATTTGGCTCCAAGTTGCCCTCCTATTGGCAGGCTCAGTGAGGCACTGAAGGATTCCTCCTCTTCATAAAGGGAGTCATCAATGATCATGACCCGGCAGGTCTTCTCAGTCTCATTCTTGCCAAAGTGGAGGCTGCTGGTGTGGTCTTTGATACGCGAAATGTAGTCAGAGAAAGACAGGACTGTGGAAGAAATTGTGCCTCTGGCGGAATCTACAGGAATATGAGAAAGAACAGTGAAGGTGAGAAATAAATGAAATTTTGAAGGGAAACCTGTTCCCTACTGATTCTTCAAATTATTTCTAGATAACAAAACGCAAGTGCAATGCATTGCTGTCCGGTTGGATCCGACTCATAGCGATCCCTCTTTGGCTTTCTGAGGTGGTATCACTATGAAAGTAGATTGCCCAACCTTGTTTCTGAGGAGTGGCTGGTGGGTTTGAACTGCCAGCCTTCTGGTTAGCAGTCAAATGTCGTAGGCACTATGCCACCAGAGCTCCCATTTAACTATCTAAATTATAAGGTACACTCATCTGTACCTTACACCCACCAATTGTAATTACAATATTGTAATTAGAAGACTTTCAGAGAGACTCTGGTATTTTTATATGATCAAAATTTAGTGATCTTTAAATAGGTGGTATATTGAGTAATAGCAGTGGTAATTCAGTGGTGGACTTCTTGCCTTTCCTGTAGGAGACATAGGTTCAATTCCTGGCCAATTTACCTCAAATGCAGCCACTACCTATCTGTCAGTGGAGGTTTCTGTGTTGCTATGATGCTGAACAGGGTTTAGTGGCACTTCCAGACTAAGTCAGACTAAGAAGAAATGTGTAGTGATTGAGTTCTGAAAAATCAGCCAGTGAAAACCCTGCGGATCACAATGGTCTGATGCTGTTGTGCATGAACTCCTCTTATTTTGAGGGCCGACTCCATGGCAACTGACAACAACAATATTGAATAAAGTTTGTTGAGATTAGGGGCCAAATGAGTCAAAGGATCAAATGATTCCAGGGCTTATTCTAAATGTTATAAATAGAAAAGATTGAGACGCACAGAAATTAGGACCAGAAAATATATATAATAATAATGGTATGGAATTTACCCTTCCTAAGCCCTAGAGGGGGAGCTCTGGTAGCATAGTGGCTAAGGCACTTGACTGCTAACCAGAAGGAAGGCTGGCGGTTCATACCCACCAGCCACTCTTCGGAAGGAAGATGGGACAATCTACTTCCATAGTGGTATTGCCTCGGAAACCCAAGGAGGGGTCGCTATGAGTCAGGTCTGACTTGACGGTACGTAACAACAACAACAACAACAACAACAACAAGACCTAGAGGGCTGTGAGTAGCTTCTATCTAATCTGACACCACCCCTCACCTGAAGAATTCAACAATTTCAGTTTAGATTCCATGCACTTTGAAATTTATTGTAATAATCTATACACATTAAGATTCACCAATTTAGAATGTACAATTTAATGAGTTTTGATAAATATAGTTATGTAACCACCACTACAATTATAATATGGAACATTTTTATCCTGCTGCAAACATTGATTTATAGTCCCTTAAAATCCATCCCTTTTCTCCATCTCCCGTTCCTGACAAACACTGCTTTCTGTCACAATTGATTTGTCTTTTTGAGTATTGTATCTTCTCAGTGGAATCATAGAGTACACAGTCTTTTGTGTCTGGTTTCTTTCACTTAGCATAATGCTTTTGAGATACATCAATGTTGCTGTATGTATCATGATTTTGTTCTTCTTATTGCTAAGTAGTGTTCCATACAGCTTTGCTTGCTGAAAGTGAAGATGACTTGAAGCACTTACTGATGAAGTTTAAAGATTACAGTGTGCAGTATGGATTACACCTCAACATAAAGAAAATGAAAATCCTCACAACTGGGCCAATAAGCAGCATCATGATAAATGGAGAAAAGATTGAAATTGTCAAAGATTTCATTTTACTTGGATCCACAATCAACACTCATGGAAGCAGCAGTCAAGAAATCAGACAATGTATTGCACTGGGCAAATCTGCTGCAAAAGACCTCTTTAAAGTGCTGAAGAGCAAAGATGCTTTGAGGATGTAGTGCCTAAGGCACTTGACTGCTAACCAGAAGGCTGGTGGTTCAAACCCACAAGCCACTCCTTGGAAGGAAGGTTGGGCAATCTACTTCCATAGTGACACCACCTCAGAAACCCAAGGAGGGGTTGCTATGAGTTGGGTCCGATTTGATGGCACATAACAAAAATAACCCAAGCCATAGTACTTTCAATAACCTCATATGCACATGAAAGCTGGGCAATGAATAAGGAAGATAGAAAAAGAGTTGATGCTTTTGAGTTGTGCTGCTGGCAAAGAATACTGAATGCACCATGGACAGACAAAAGAATGAACAAATCTGTCCTGGAGGAAATGAAGTTGGAATTCTCCTTGGAAGCAAGAATGGCCAGAGTTTGTCTTACCTCTTTGGTCATATTGTCAGAAGGGATTTGTGGTAGTTAAGGTTGTGTATCAACTTGGCTGGACTTGGTTTTGAGTGGCTGAGCAGCTGAGTGTAGTTACTTCCCATGATGAGAGTGCTAATCAATGCCATGATGGAATCTACTGGAGCACCTGAGTAACTACCTTAGGGATGTGGTCTGCTTCCAGTATCTAAGAAGACAGCTTTGAGAAAGGTCTCTGAGCTTTTCAGCATTCTTGGGTCCTGCATTTGGCTGAGTCTTCATCTGTGGCCTGCCATGTTGTCTGCTGATATTCAGACTGTCTCTATACTTGAATTAGTGGTCTGTCGTGTTGCTTAATAATCTTGGGACTATGCCATTTTACTTGTCGACCTTGGGTTTGTCAGACTCAGTAGTTAGTAACTGCCTGAATTAAGAGACGCTTGCAGCTACAGTGGGCTGGGATCAAGAGGCAGAGCTGAAGCCCTCACTCAGCCCCTAGAGCTGGCACTTTGAACTCTGACTTCTAGCATCTTAAACTGTAAGAGAGTAAATCCCTGTTTGTTAAGACCTTCCACTTATGGTATTTTCTATTCGAGCAGCACTAGAGAACAAAAACAGGACCATTCCCTGGAGAAGGATATCGTGCCTTGTAAAGTGGAGGGTCAGTGAAAAAAGGGCAGACCCTCAATGAGATGGATTGACACAGTGGCTACAACAATGGGCTCAGGTACAGCAAGAATTGCGAGGATGGTGCAGGACTGGGCAGTGTTTTGTTTTGTTGTTGTACACAGGGTCATTATGAGTTGCAGTTGATTCGACAGTACCTAACAACAACAACAACAACAGTGTTCCATTGTTGGATATGTCACAATTTGTTTTTCCATTTATAAGTTGAACATTTATATTGTTTCCAGTTTTTAGCTATTTTGAGAAACATTGCTATGAAGATTTTAGTACAAGTCTTTGAGTTGACATGTAATTTTATTCCTCTTGGGTAAATATTTAGGAATAAGATTGTTGGAATTCAGTTCATTTCTTTTCCCCATATAAAAACATATCAACCCACAGGTTTTGAGCTAAAAGGGTAAAAAATAGTTACAGTAATTTAAATGATTTAGGTATAACAAAGACTGTGTGAAATAATTTGATATATTAAACAAGCAATTTTTGAAAAGTATTAATATATTGCACCATACCTCTCCCTGATGAGAAGTGATGGGAAAATGACAGTGGAATTCTAGACTGAACAATCTAGTCCAATGAGGGTCTACCTTGCTTATTGTTGTTGTTGTTAGGTGCCATTGAGTCATCTCCAGCTCATAGTGATCCTATGTACAGCAGAACGAAACACTGCCCATTCCTCTCCCAGTCCACCATCCTTGCTATATTGTAAGGCTACATCATTGTAGCCACTGTGTCAAACCATTTAGTTGAGGGCCTTCCCCTTTTTCAATGACCCTCCACTTTACCAAACTTTATATTCTTCTCCAGGGAATGGTCCCTTCTTACAACATGACTAAAGTAAGTGAGACGAAGTCTGGCTATTCTCACTTCAGGGAGATTCTGGCTGCACTTCTTCCAGGATGGATTTGTTAGTTCTTTTAGCAGTCCATGGTACTTTCAGCATACTTTGCCAGCAAAAAGCATCAACTTTTCTTTGGTCTTCCCTATTCATTGTCCAGCTCTCACATGCATATGAGGTGATTAAAAATACCATGCCTTGGTCAGGCACACCTTAGTCTTCAAGGAGATGTCTTTGCTATTATAATATATATACACAAGAAAACATCAGTGATTGCGATCTTATCAGTATGAATGAATATAAATACAAGCTGACATCTATGTATGCATCTATCTTGTTGAATAATGAAACTGGTCTTCATATTGACTTCAGAAACTTTGATCAGAAGGGCATAGTCTTACAAAATATTTCAGGATGATTTTCCACAGAATGATTTTTAAAATTTAGGTTGTTTTTACTTGCCATTGAGTTGGCACTGACTCATGGTGACCTTACGTATAACAGAGCTAAATGGTGGCCAATCCTATGTCATCATCATGATCATTGGTATGTTTGAGTCTTATAGATATTGTGTTAATCCATCTAATTGAGGGTTTCCCTTGTTTTCTTTGGCCCTCAACTTTGTTGTGTTGTTGTTAGGTGCTGTTGAGTTGGCTTTGACTCATAGCTACCCTATGTACAATAGAATGAAACACTGCCTGGTCCTGCGTGAGCCTCACAATCTTTGCTATACCTGAGCCCATTGTTGTAGCCACTGTGTCAACCCATCTTGTTGAGGGCTTTCACCCTTTTCACTGACCCTCCACTTTACCAAGCATGATATCCTTCTCCAGGGAATGGTCCCTTCTGACAACATGACCAAAGTAGGTGAGACGAGTTTTGGCCATTCTCATTTCCAAGGAGCATTCCAGCTGCACTTTTTCCAGAACAGATTTGTTAGTTCTTCTGGAAGTCAAACACCACAACTCAAAAACATCAACCCTTTTTCAGTCTTTCTTATTCATTGTCCAGCTTTCACATACATATGAAGTGACTGAAAATACCATGGCTTGGGTTAGGTGAACCTTATTCTTCAATGAGACATCTTTGCTCTTCAACACTTTAAAGAGGTCTTTTGCAGAAGATTTGCCCAGCGCAATAGTATGTCTGATTTCTTGACTGCTGCTTCCATGGGTATTGTGGATGTAAGTAGAACAAAATCTTTGACAACTTCAATCTTTTCTCCATTTATCGTGATGC